GGTGTCGGGAGAAGAATTAAAATGGCCGAGGTGAACAGTACAATATGCAAATCACTGATCTGGAATTTATGTCAAGGACGCACAAAATATTCATTATTCAATCTAATATTTTTGCAGCAGTGCATTTGTTAAAAAAAAAAATTATAACAACTTTATGCATTTGTGAATAAAATCCTACCATGATACTGAAATTCCTTTCCTCTGCTCCGTATTTAATATTTTCTATCCAAACTCAGAAAATGCCAGTTGCAAGGCACTGGTAATCAAAAGTCGTCTGGATCTGCTCATCGCCAGCTCCATCACTGAGTACTACACCCCAGATGGTTTCTCCACAATATGCAGGTCAATTTAACTTTACAAAATAATTAAATGTAGATATGTCATCGTCTGGGGGGGGGGTAGCAGGGGACAGGTAAACATGGAGGAGCTTCAAACCTAGGAAGAATTAGCCATGAAAGAAGCTACATGAAAACAACATTGAGATCGTCTGCATAGACAAAAAGAGCCATAATAGTCTAGTCTTAACGTAGATGCTTTTGCGCTCTAATCGGCACAACATTTAGTAGGCAGGACTCCGGTGGAGACGGAAACAACATCCAGTGAAAAGAGATATTCGTCATAAATTCTGCCTACACGAGAACTAACTCAAGTTTCCTCCATGAGACGGCGAATCGCCGAACCTTTACACTACACACTTGCCAGTAATGATAATCCTTCTTTAATTTCTTATCTCTCCAGAAACAGCTACATTGATACACTCTTGCTTCTAAGGCACTAGCTACAAATACATTTCCCGTGCCTAATTATGTAAAGCAAACGCATGTCTTTATTGTGCAATCATGTTGTTGACTTGGCGTTTAGTGGGGGTGATCACTGGACAAGACACAACAACCCTTTATTAGACAGGGTACTGCTCAGTGGCAACAAGCATTAACACTGTATTAGCGTGATGTTATAGATTAAATAACACTGATGCGTTGCTGTATGTATCTATGTATCTATGTTTGAATGTCATTATAAACCAAATCTCACAACATAATTCTTTTTTTTTTAAAGTGAAATTTACGTAGATGAATGATGCTACATTATTTCTGCATTTACTGAAAGTCCTTATTTGATAAAACCCCATATCAGATGATACGTATCGTGTTTTAAAACCTTATTCTGAGTGTGCCAACTCTACAACGTTAATACCTTTGTGAATCAAGGAGCGTTCAGTTTGCCAACTTTTCCCGACTATTAACATAATAATTTTACTGTAAAAGGGTGTTGGTATTCATTCTGATCCTGTTTGGTGAAAGAATCGCACTTATGTAAAATCATGTGCTTGTTATTGCACTGGTGTTTCTACAACTGGAGGCGAACCCGCGCTCAGCTGGTAGGCCTATCATGCTGGGCTATGGAGCGGATGGCGCTAGCTCGAATCCTCAAAGAGGCGTTATTGACTTTGGGTTGGGGTTTTTGTGGGTGGGGGGGGGGGGGGGTTAAGTCTCTTCCCCGATTTGGCTAGGAGTCTAGGAGATGTACGTTAAAAGTCGGAAGTAGCGACTCTTAGGTGACTTACAGTGTTGAAATGGGCATTTAATGTGTGCAGTGACTAATGACCAGTTATTGACCTGGAATTTATTTGAGAGAATTTCCATTACTATGTGTACACACTCTAGCGAATACTAAAACAAGCTTTCACGTTCATCTCTTAGCCAATACAAGAACTTCACGCTCGAACTTGAGGCTAATCTGCTGAAGAACTGCTCCTCTGGCTTTTCCACGAAAGTCCACTTCGTGGCTCGCGCTGTTCATGCCATTCTTGGGCGCACGTGCCAGATGCCAGACTTCAGCGTGAGGCGATGTGACGTTGGCCGAGTCCGTGCCTGTGTGGCGGAGCTGTACGAAGTGCAACGTTTGGTGGGCGTCAACGCCACAGATTCTGACGTCTGCACGTAAGTGGAGGTCGATGAAATGTTTGCTTTTAGGAAAGGCCTACTTGTACTACTTCTACATTTTGATTTCTGATGCTGTTTCTGCATCTACCAATACTATAGTTATTTGTGACGATGATGATAATAATACTGGTGGTGATAATGATAATGATAATAATGAGCATAGCAATATTACATTCGTAATAACAATAATAATAATAATAATAATGATAATAATAATAATAATAATAATAATAATAATAATAATAATAATACTTTGATAATAATGATGATGATAATAATTAATGTCAACAAAAATGATGATATTACTACTACTACTACTACTACTACTACTACTACTACTACTACTACTACTACTACTACTACTACTACTACTACTACTACTACTACTACTACTAACAATAACAATAATACTAAAAATACTACTACAACTACTACTATTACTACTACTACTACTACTACTACTACTACTACTACTACTACTAGAAAAATATCTACCATAAATAATGATGATAGTAATAATATTAGTAATAATAATATTGATAATAATAATAATAATAATAATAATAATAATAATAATAATAATAATAATAATAAAATAATGTTAATAATAATAATAATAATAATGATAATAATAATAATAATAATAATAATAATAATAATAATAATAATAATAATAATAATAATAATAATAATAATAATGATAAGGATAAATAGTGTACTTGCCCAAGTCCTCACACATCTGATTTCTTTTTACTTGCATAAGATATATTATAGGCAATTCTGATTGGCACGTTGGCTAATGAAATGTTCTTTAAAAAATTTCTACCACAGGTCCTTGGACAAAACAGAAAAATGCGTTGAACGATTCAGCTACAAATGTGACAGCTTCAGAGGTGCCCAGATTGACTGGATCTTCTCTACTGCCCGAGCATCTTCCGTCGGCTTCTACTGCAAAACAGAGGGCACTGAACCTGTATGCGAGCCCAAAGACCAGGGAGACCCAAAACACGAGCGGTGCAATATTCCCAAAGCAAGGAGCTGCTCCTGCAAGAATATGCGACTCTTTTCAAACAACGCCTTGAGCAAAGAGAAGAAGTGCAGGTACTTAAATTTGATTGAATGTACTGCTGATTTGTAAAGGTATGAGTGGTGTTGTGGTTAAAACTTTCATCCAATAAAGCGGATGTCCCTAGAAATTTTCATGGGGAAAGGGGACAGGCTCTGAATTTTTTAAAACCGCCTTTTATCTTACAATGTATTTTGTTGTAAACATCATTTGTTAAACGTCGTTTAGAACCCCAGGATATTGTTTTCTGACGATCCAATTGTGTTTCAAAGTTAGTATACAATGTACATATACATGTACATACATATACACATACACATACACAAACACATACATATACATAAACATTTACATATACCAATACCTTTACCTATAAACGATAAATTATACCTACACGTAAATATATAGAGTAGCGTCCAATAGAAACTTGAAAATGTAATCACCCAGTAATCGTGTTAAAGCCTTGAACTACCCACTCATGCAGTATACCAATGTTAAGCTAAATAAATTCTACAGCATCTAGCACTTATAATTCATCCATGTTAAGAGACTGCAGAGATACAGTCACTCAAAACTGACCTTAAAAAATTAATCTCCGCAAAATAGTGCAAAATCAAATCCTTAGGGCATCTGCTCCATTAGATTTGGACTTAATTATCTGTAATTTCATCCTACTTGTCACAGAGAGTTGCAAACAAAGGGTCTGAATATTGGGAGCAAAGTCGATTTTCTTCTGCTGCTGTTTCATGGGACTTCACATGCCTGTAGGATTTATATGGGGGCTATTAAACTAGTGACCACTCCCCCGTTGTTATGCTTTGGTTTTCCAAAAATTGTCCAGTGACTTTGGCACAGCTAGATAGTGCTTTGCTAGGCTTGCAGATGTCTACTTGAATGACACCATGACGAAAATAAGGGTAAGTCATGACATTCCAGTAGTTGCGCGATGTAGTTCACCAAACCAAGCCACTCGGTGATTCTCACGGGGGCTGCATTGTTCATTCCACCGCAAACCACCAAAAACCACAGCAGTTTCTTGGCCTGTGTTCCTCACTGACAAATGATTGGTTCAAAATCTAACTAACACAGTCCATGAGCAAAAACAAAAAAAAGTTTCCAGCTCTACAAGAAAAAAATTGCTCCTTAACGAAAACAAAACCATACTATTGAGCCTATGTAATGTAAATTTAGGTTTTGCAAGGTATTTGTGACTTCTCTATTTTCTAATCTGTTTGAAAATAAGGGCAGTTTTGAGTGACCAAATCTCGGGCGTCTCTTAACATAGATGAAATATTAGTGTGTCAGATGATGCAGAATTTATTCAGCCTTAAACTGGTATGCTGTATGAATGGGAAATGTAGGGCTACAACACGATGATTGGGTGATTACATTTTCAAGTTTCTTTTGGACGCCACTATATATACATACACATATACTTATACATATACATAATATGCATACTCGTATACATAATATGCATATAAGTATAGACATATACATACACACACATATATATTATTATATATATATAT